CTTTTTACGCCACAATCTAACATTAGAATTTCCCCTTCCTGAATTTCCAATTCATTGATTCTTAATATTTTATAAATTAAGCAAACGTGCTATTCGAATACATTTTAAAAATAACTATGGAAGGGCGGTTTTAAGGTATAGCCCTGTTTTGAAGTGGCGCCACCTGCTTTATCCGGTGGGTATTAAGGAGTTTCAATAAACAGGCTAAAATATACCCGCATGCTTCCATGAAAATTAAAAAATGTACGGCTAACTTTTGAACCTACTACCTCTTTTAATCCATTACATCGCGCAGATATCAGTATCAAGAGACGTCTCCTGGTAAAACTGCAGAGAATGTGAGGCAGTTCAAGAATATAATGGCATCGACCATATGTGCGTCAGAAAATATGTTTTTAATGCAAAATTTTATTTAGAGAGCATTTGAAATGTTTAACTTGTAGTTAATTCACCGTGTCAATGGACTACAACATTACAATTAGCTGGGATATGCCATAAAGCTACTCCTATAAATTAGGGATTCAATGAAATTTATTCTTTATGGTTACATAGGCAGTAATAAGGTATAACGTTTGTCTAGTTTGAAGTAGGCTCCAGGTTCAGGGTGATCAAGAATGCTCTGATCCCAGGTGAAGGCTCACCATTGCACCTCGGTGGGTTGAAACTTGTGATGAACCCTAATAAGGTGCGCTCGGGCGTGTAGTTATTGTCAGTGGGGAGTCCTCGCAGTCCTCCCTTTGTCTGATGAGTCGGTCGCACAGCGGTGAGAACTCTCGTTGACCATGTACATGGTCCGAGGTTCGATCCCCTGCTGACACATACCTGATATCAATGGCTAGGCGGTAAAATTTGGGCTACCAATATCAAATGCTGAAAATTCCATAATTGTACCAAAAATACGGTGTGGAATCAAGCTATAATCAAAATCAAGTAATATAAATATATGTTTTAATTTCATTATTGAATTGAATATTAAAGGTGTGTGACCCACAGGGACAGTGACAAGTATTGCATGTTTTATAATCTTTGACAGTTGGTTGTGAATGAATTGTCCCAGTTCCCAAAGACATCGAAAGATCTGAGAAACAGACCGGGATATTTTCGTCTGATAACGACTCATAATACCAGATATTTAATATTTAGATTTACTCCGCCCCCCAGCGCCCCATAATATTTCCTCAGGAAATTTTTTGCTTTCTTGTGAAAATTCTGAACGAATAACATTGAAAATGAGTCAATATCTAACTGTCTTACTTCAAAAAACAAACAAACAGAAAGAGTGGAGTCTGTGTAACAGGCGTCTGTGATAAAAAATCTGAAAAACAATTTGGTCAGCATATTGAATTTCATCTAACCAGAAGTGGAATGAAGGTTTCAAAAGTTTATCACTAGTACAAGGTGTACTGTAAGGATATTATTTATGCATTTACTGACCTAATAACATTATTGGACATAATTCATATTAATATATGTGTAAAACTTGGGCGCTGTGGTAGTAAGTAATTCCATATTAGTTTGTTTATTTGATGTATCTCACAGTGAAGAAACAGTGTTATTTACTGGATGACATTTCGAACAAAATTTATTGTTCACAATCATATCAATTATAATCAAACGACTTCGAAACCTGAGTTTTATAGTTTTCCTTGTTCTCTCCCATTTGTCGTCATTGGGGTAGTAGAATTATCCTTTATCTTGGACAGGTGATGAATCATGCCTATTACACAAGGCAGGAATAAAAGCAGCTGGCATTCAAACCCACCAACTCAATTAGAAACAAGCTTTGTCGGTTAAAGGATCCTGACAGTGGAGCCAATAAAACAAAACAATTTAGTTTATCTAATACCCTGCTGTAATGACTGTCAGGTTAAATACATAGGTCAAAGTAGTAGAACAGGGTCAGTCAGACTAGCCGAGCATAAAAACCTAGCAGTAAAAGCTAGATTGGTTGACCCGAATAAGATAAGAAATCTAGAGAATAGTTCAGCTACAACACTACACCGAATGGAATTACACACAACCATGCAATAGAATGGGATAAAATGACAGTTTTAAAATATAATGTCACAGGGTATAGGGAGAGATTGATAACGGAAGCTTTGTTTATCGAATCAACTGCAAATACGTGTAATAGGAATGATTCAACACCTATCCACCCAGATATCTGGAAAATTCTACTACCCCAACGGCGACAAATCGAAGAGAACAAAGGAAACTATAAAACTCAGGTTTCGAAGTCGTTCGATTATAATTATGATTTGATTATGAACAATAAATTTTGTTCGAAACATTGTCATCCAGTAAATAATACTGTTTCACTCACTGTGTGACACATCTAATAAACAAACTAATATGGGACATTATTGGGCAGTTTTGATTCTTTTATTCATGGCTTAGTTTTCTGGAGGAATTCGATGTCATGCAACCTTTTTTATTAGACAAAATACATGGATTACAAGTCCTTGGAAATTTAAGCTATAAATGAAGCAAATTTGAATGATTTTACTAGAATTTAGGATTCTTTGTTCTGAACTGAACATGTTACGTCTGGAATCTTATTGGATTGCTGTTGTCGTTCCGATCGTCATTTTCCCAGTTCGACTTTTTTTGTCTATTTTAGTGTGGGAAATAATTGCAAGTGGTCAACTGGTTCTAGTGTCGTGTTTTGGAGGCCTATTGTAGTTAAATCATACAAACCCATAGCCTAGTAAAACTCCACATATGATATGGGGTTGATGTCCTGGAACATTTCGAAAGTTTTAAAACTGATGGCTGGTTATTCGCAGTTCAACGGAGATGTGTGAGAAGAAGAAGAAGACGGAAGGAGAATTTAATGTTGGGAAGAAAGGAGTTTCAAAACCCTGATTTTTCTCTGTTTTATATTATCAGTCATTTCACCATCATTGGGAGTTGACATGAAAAACCCTTTATTACCCAGACCGAATGAGGCGAACTCAATGGCTGGAACTGAATAACAGTGACAGATGACGTATTATAGATTCTTGAATGTCTTCCTGTCACGATGTCAGAATTGACTTAGTTTTAGCAATCAAGCTTTCTGTGTGGTTTGTAAGCTAACAGAATCTAGATGGTCTTTCTGTGTTACCTGTGAAAAACGCCATTTATTCCATAGCAGTTCGCATTACACACACCTGTTTTATTTTATTTTTTTATATTGATTATAGCTCGATCCCACACCATCTTTTCGGTACGAGTAGCCCAAATTTCGCAGGCCGAACACTGATATCAGGTGTGCGTCGGCAGGGGATTGAACTCCGGACCATGTGCATGGTCGGCGAGAATCCTAACCTCTGTGCCACCTATGCTTTGACAACATAGCGACGAGGCTGAATCATTCGATAAGCTATGAAAATGTTCCGTAGTCTTTAACATTTCTGCTTAGTTAGGCGGAAATTCATCTACAATCGTGATTATACATCCAGTTATCTGGCGTATATTATCAGTAATTTTCGTAGCTTTTGAAAAATCAGAGGAATTTTTATAACTGTTCACTTTTGATGTGATGGAAAAGATTGTTTTTCGAAGTGACGGACAGACTTCATCAGCCAGATATCCAAAAGGATTTAAAAAACGAGTTCAATTTGTGTAAGCTGACTGATTCCAAATGTTACCTCAAGCGGAATATCAAGATCTAGAACCAAACAAAAAAAGACAATGTAGTCTTATGGGACGTGGTGTCCTCCTTAGAACTTGTAATTAAAAGAGAACAATCTACGCTACCTTTAAATACATGAATGACATCGAATTACTTCCATGGAAGAAAGGTCTTTTAGATGTGATAATTGATAAGACAACATTGTTATGGCAATAAGCAATACATCCGGTGGACACTATTGGATGAAATCAAGCTACTGAAAGCCAGGAAGGCAGCAGGATAGGATGGAATTCCTCCTGAAGATCTGAAAACGGATCCAGAGACTACAGCAGCAGTCCTCAGCCTCATTCAACAGGTATATTTGACAGCATCAAATGTCGGGTGATACACAATGCAGAATGTTACATAAATTCGAAGAATTACAGGTGAAAACAAAAACATTGACAGAAGACTGGACTTCAAATGAACATAAAGAAGACGGATGCAAAGAAGTTAATCAACCATCACCAGCAACAGGCAGCAGTCACTATCAACGGGAGAAATTTGTACGAGGTCACTTCTTCCGCTTATCTGGGGAACATCATTTCATCTACAGGCAGCACAGATGCAAATGTAAAGGAAAGTATCGGAAGGACACGACAGACCTTCATCACTATGCAATCAGTTTGGAAATCTACTGTACTCAGCTAGAATAAACAACAAAATTCAGATTTCCAACACCAATGTTAAGTCACTAAGTGCTTCTATATGGCTCAGAAACTTGGTACCCACCTCACCGGAAGCATTTCCAACAAACTAATGCTGGATTTTTATTAGCACCTGCCACCTTCACTACCTCCATACCGAAGTTCAGATGGCCAGGGAGAAATAAATGGCAACAAGAAAGTCTACATTGCAACGAACTACCCAAAAACAAAATGAAGATGGATTAGACACACGCTGAGGAGACCGTTGGGTGACATCGCGTGCCAGTCCATCTCTCAAGTGAAACCCAGATGGAAAATGACAAGTTCGCAATAGGTCCGAGGATGACATGGAGGAGAGCACTAGAGGAGAAGATGAGAGACCATGGGCAATCTCTGGGACAATGAACAGGACAAAGTAGAAGTGTGCTATTGAAGCCGTCTGATCCACTTGCAGCCCAAGGGAACGATAATAATAAAACTGGTTAGGCATAATTATAAGAGGAAATCATACTTTTTGTGTTTAAGTTCATTTCTTACACTAAATAATATCTTAAGCTAATTTTAAAAAATTTACTTAATGAAAAATTTTAAATTTTGTCTTTCAGATGTTTTGAATTCATTATCAGGTGTCATTCATTTCACCGGATTCATATTGATAATTTATTTTCCCTGAGATTTTAATACATTTTTATCCAAAAATGTCAACTGTACTACAAAGTCAACCATACGCTATTTATCCTACAATATTCAATCCTTATAAGCCACCATGCTATAAGCGATTTGCGACTTTCAGTAAGTTAATTTATCGATATTTCATCATACTACTTTATAAAAAATGAGTAGACTATGACATTTTAAACAAAATAATATTTTTATAGGGATTTGATTTCGCTCACGTCTGATCACGGATTGATATCAGTTACAGAACAATTGAAAGCCAGCTCAAAGTAGTGGGTGGCTGTTTCGTCCTAGATTGGGACTCGCTGATGATACTGGCTGGTGCCAGTCGCGCTAAATTCACTAATTGGTAGAAGTTATAATTCGTGGGTTAGCTATTGAGGAATGCAGTCCCAGTGGCTGAATGGTCTACGAGCCTCACTTTGTGATTGGAAGGTTCTGTGTTCAAATTATAGTCCAGTGGGTGCACCTTGTCGATGAGCCTAAAACTAAGACGAAACAGATTTCGAGTACTCCAAACTGGTTTCCGTGCGTCGGTAGCACAGTGGTTAGGACTCTCGCCGACCATGCACATGGTCCGGGGTTCAATTCCCTGCCGGCGCACACCCGATATCTATGGTCGGCCTGAATTTGGGCTACCGATATCCATGCTGAAAATTCCATACTTGTACTGAAAAGTATGGTGTGGAATCAAGCTGTAAATCAAAATAAAAATAAAATAAAAATAAATCCGTGATCAAATTTGAAATAATACTTTATATATCCTCCAAATCTCTATTGAATGCAGAATTAGGAGTTTGGTTATAAGATTTTTACTGATTTTAGAGCAGATTTCTCCAGGGACTGACGTTGTAACGGCAGAAGATAAGGGTCAGGCAGCAGATCATTTATTGAGGAAATCAATATATATATATATTCATTATGATTTGTAATTATTAAAAGAGAAACAGCGTCTTCTGATTGGTTGTTTTATCGCTGAGAGTTATTCTGTCATCTCTTTGTGGCTGTTTCTTTGAAGGTCAGACCATATATGTGAGAATCGTATTCGCCCACGTAAAGTCTTTGTTCTTGCTTTTTTCTCATGACCAAGATTTGGGACATAAACATTGACGTAAACTGCTGTCTACCAATTTTGGCTAGCAGACAGCTCTCACCACAACATTAGTTATGGAATCACTGAAAAGCAAGGAGCTATTTCATCTTGGTTTGGGACTATGTATTATTTTCAACGCATAAAACAAACAGAGATTGAACCCAGCACTTCTAGATTTTGAGGCAAGCCCGGTAGCTGAATGTCCAAAGCTTCCTGGTTTTCAATGGTTCTCTGGGTTAGGTTTCTTCTAGACGAAATCTACCTGGAGTGCATGGGGTAATTTAACATTCTATGAAAATTATCGTATTTCACTATCTGAACTAAAGACTGATAATTTCTTCAAAATGGCGTTTTTAAGTGGGACAATCTTTGAGTAGTTTGGAAAAAGTATAAGTTACATACAGTTGGATTAAGACATTACATAAGAGACTCAATTAACAGTCGTCAACTTGACTTCATGAAGCCCATCTCTGCTTGTGGTTTCTAAAATGGTTAACATTTTCTCTTAAGAATTTGAATACTAGTCCCGTTCAGATCAAAAATTGTCTCATATTTGATTCCGTTTGCAGTGGATTAGTGCCAATGATTTTTTTTCACTAAGAGTTCGAACTCACCACTTACTTCTGTTAAACTTAAAACACCTCATTCCCTTTTTTGCGCATTTATTACGACATCTTCATTTCATTAAGGTTATTCATCCAAAGATGCCGACGCAAACTTTGCTGATGGTAATGACAATTGTAAAGATGAAAATTCACCAAATGAAAAAAGACCAGAAAGTCATTCAGCAAAATATTCGTGTACTTCTTCCACTTGTTCAAAAGAGTCCTCCACACAACATCATTCAGCATTTAGTAGACGACAAATATCCAGTGCAAATGCAAAACTATCTGACAGAAGGCCACAATTTAAAGTGATTAGGAAACAGTTGCAAGGGAAATGCGAAATTGGAGATAATAATTGGTTATTAACGTCTAAAATTAATTTAATTCCAAGAGTGAGTTTAAAAAATATTTTGTTGTGTAATGTGTTAAAGGTTAAACATATGAGTATTTATATTATTATTGTTGTTCCCTTGGGTTCCTAGTGGAACATAGGACTTCAACTACACGTCTCCACTTGCTTCTGTCTTCTGTAGTACCTTTCACCTGCATCCATGTTAGTCCATACTGTTTCAACTCTTCTTCACACGATCTCCTCCATGTCACCCTTGCACGTCCCACTCGCCACTTCCATTTCAGGTTCCACTTGAGCGTTGGCCTGACGCGCGATGTCACCCAACGGCCTCCTCAGCGAGTGTCCAATCCATCTCCACTTTCTCCTGTATATTGGTTGGGCGATTGGTTCTTGTTTTGTTTGTTCCCATAGTCTCTTGTTGGTGATTCTTTCTGACCATCTGATCTTCAGTATAGAGCGAAGACAGTTGTTGATAAAGGTCTGCAACAGGCTGTTGGAAATATTCTTTGTGACCCGCCAAGTTTCTGATCCGTATAGAAGAAATGACTGACTTGACGCTTGTATTGAAAATCCGAATCATTTTGTTGTTGATGCAGGCTGAGTGACAGTGGAAGATTTCCAGATTGGTTTCAGGTTGATGAATGTGTTTCTCGCCTTCCTGATTCTCGATTTGACATCCTCGTCCGTTCCTCGTGTAGTTGAGACAATGCTCCCTAGATAAGTGAACGAAGTAACCTCTTTCAAATCTCTCCCGTTGATGGTGATTGGCGTTGGATGTTGCTGTTGTTGTTGGTTGGTTATTTTCATAACCTCCGTCTTTTCTATGTTCACCTGGAGTCCTGTCTTTGCTGCTTCTTCGACCAGTTTGTCGGTTTTCGCTTGTAAGTCTTCGGTTTTGTGTGACATCAAACATAAATCATCCGCGAAATCCAGGTCTTCTAAGTTCTTCACGTCGGTCCAGGATATCCCTGTCTTCTCGTTTCCCACATGCGTCAGACAGTGGGAAACGAGAAGACAGAGATATCCTGGACCGACGTGAAGAACCTAGAAGACCTGGATTTTGCCGATGACTTATGAGTGATGTGTGATTAACTAAGGAGGTATTACTATAATTAAATAAATGAAAAAGAAATAATTCAAATGAATGATCTCGGGTTCGAAGGCATTCAGAAGTGTACATGGAGACTCATACCAATACTTGAAAATCAATGAGATGCTCAGTAGCGACTGGCTCTATTCTGGTAGGTAGTATTTACCTGGGGTTCTAGTGGGAAGTCGTGACCATTAGGGTGCAGCAGGTCGGGTGGGGGGACAAATACTCACCACCAATGACATTGGCTAGTGGTGGCGCTATGCCGTGAATCGGCAGAAGTTGGAATTCATGTACTGGCCAGTGCATTGGGTCCCAGTGGCTTAATGGTATACAAGCTAGCTGGCCTTGTAACCAGAAGGTCATGGGTTCAAACCCCTGTGGTGGGTGCGTACTGGTGAAGACTCGCAAACTAGGACGGATGAAACAGCCATCCAATACTTCCAGGTGGTTTTCTAATGTTTCTGAAATCCTGTAACGAATCATACGAAGAAGTTTTGCAGATGCTAGTATGAAACCCAACTATTTGTGTATCTTGAATTTTGACTATCACAGGATAACGCAATACTAATAAAGTTGGAGAGCATTGATTATTGCTCTCCCAAGGATTGGTCAAATGGTAGTGTCACCAAAAATTAAAAGTAGGTCTCCCAATTATTTTAATTCATTGAAGATGTCCCTTTAAAATACTTAAAAGACTGTTTAATCAATAAAGAATATGCTTTTCGATAACGCCTTCTTCATCAGGTTCGACATGTATATGACCATAATAAATAAAGAGATATTTTTATTAACAACATTAATATTGCAAAAATATTCATTCAGACATCTATAAAACACAAAATAATCGAGCAAAGAATATCCTTTTCGATTAATTCCTCTTCCGGCTCTACAATTATATACATGCGTTTATATACACACAGAATATTCTAGATTAGTAGTTAATAACAATATTAGTGTTTTTTAAATAATATCAATTTGTAAAGTAAGATCAATGCAATTACAGTTCATTAAAGATGCTTAAATAATAATAATAAAGATATAATAGTGAATAGAATATCAACTAAAATTAGGGAAATTTCACAAAAATTCTGGATTATTCAAACCTGGATGGCCAAGGTAATGATAATGACTGAACTAACTTCTTTTGGGTGCATAAATTTGGCTTTTTAATATGGATCCCCATAGCCTCAGCAATATTTAGAACTCGAACTCTTAAAGCAAAACTGAGATTCGTAGGTATGCGGTAAATGACCCTGAAAGCATGATTAACGTCAATCTTATGTTCTGTCTCCACAAGATTAGATAGAATAGCGCTGCGAATAGATTTTGTTTGACCTTTGCTTAACCAGGCAGGGTGATGGTCGGAAATTCGACGAGAAACACGCCTAATTGTACGACCTATATAACTGGCTCCACAGGAGCAGTTAAACTGGTATATACACATGGAAGAGGCGAAATTAGGCAGTTTCTCTTTTATTCCTGAACGCAGAAGAGGGGTGGTTTTAAAGATACAGCGTAATTGAGCAGCAGGGAGTGCTCTTTTTACCGCATTTCTGAGGTGGTGTGTTAGTATTTCACTTGTGTTGTCTCCTAGGAACTGCATCTGTAAGAATAAGTCCATACTTTTTCGGAACTGTTGGTACCTTAGGCTGCTTTGATTTCAGATTCATATTCTCATCAATGAACTTCTGTGGATAACCGTTTTCACTTAGCAACCGTTTAATATTGTTAAGTTTCTCGTCAAGACATTCGTCCGAGCAAATCTCTCTTGCTCTGTGGACCAAGCACTTTATTAGATTGCGTTTGTATTTCAAGGGCACAAAGATGAGAAGAACTAAAACTACATTAAATCAATAATATTGACCAGTGATTACATTTGAAAAGCATCAGTAGGAGAGAGGGATGATATGCATTGATATAACACTAAACTGATTGAATATCAGATAAATTTGGGGAAGCAAGGATGATTTCATGAATTTATAGTCTCTACAGCAGGGCAGGGTAGCACTAGTAGCTGACTATAACTGTTTCTTATGCACTCAGAGTTCCGACTGCTTTAAGTGAACTGCAGTGGCTTCTGTAGTTTGCAGTGTTCGCTATCTAGAGGCCTTTGGTAATTTATTCGACACAAGGTAGATGACAGAGAAAGACTCTTTAATGCTAGTTTTGTGGCCTGTTTGGACGAGGTGATCAATTGTAGACTTGTCGACGGTTTTAACAACTCACTTTTTTGACCACATTGGTAGGTGTTCCTAGAGCAGCAGCTGGTATAACTAGCTTCAGAGGAGCAGTTGAATTCATAGATACAATTAAGAGTGGCTGGCTGGTCTACGTAATTCACCTTTCAGTTGACGAATCACAAGCGGTTGTGTAGAAAATATGAGCTACAGTTTACCCCTATTGAACTTCCTTTGAATTGACTTACACAACTTGTTGGTTAATTATTTCACTTGGTATATCACCTGTGAATTGTAGTCGTATCTTTAAAAGCATCTTGTTAACAGATACAAAAGAAATCTTTCCTATCTTCTTGTCCATGTGTTCAGTGATGAGTTAACCAATGTAGCTGTTTTCGTTTGATGTATCATGTAGAACCTTCAGTTCATCTCTGATCACATCTCCTGAACAAATAACTTTCATCCTATATTCGACAGTCTTTAGCAAATTTCTTTTATACCGTACCGGGACAAAGCTGTAAAAATGTGTATACTGACAGTCTAAAAGGCCTCCAAATACCTGACATTCCAAACAAAAAGAGCCATTGCAATTCTCTTAAATCAACCCGAGTTCTGTGTGAGCAAAAGGAGCAGGTCTAGCCAGCAACCATTTCTAACCTGGCCTACTGTAAAACCCATAAATGCATAAATTCTGTATTACCTTCCTTAATTTATCTGATATTCAATCAGTTTGGTTCAAAAATTGCCTTCAGTGATACGTAAACAACTATTATCTCCATGACGACCGTAATTCCTCAGAACGCCTCGTTTTAATTATGGCATTTGTTTTGAAACAATAGACATGGGGTTAATTTAAACACTTGAAATCAGTTCAGATGAGAATTGAGTTTTAATTATGATGGAAAGATAACACATGGCAAATATTTTCTGTGTTCCCCGGCATGATTATCTTAATGACACATTCACGCAATTTGAAAAAAGTCGACTAAACTGTAATTTAATTTTGCTAATTACGCTGTCCATTTGATTAAACATAGGTTATTCATTCTGCATAGAGAACAAGATTCGGAATTTCAACACAAATGTGAAGTCAGCCACTTCTACTATACGGGTCAGGATTTCCAACAAGTCACTGAAGAATTTTATCAACAACTGCCATCTTCACTGGCTCCATACTAAAGATCAACTGACCGGCAGGTCAGAAAGAATTAGCAACAAGAAAATCTGGGGATGATTAAACCAACCAAGAACCGACCGCTCACAAATATGTTGAAGAAAATGGAGATGGATCGGACACACGCCACTGAAGAGACTGCTGGGTGAAATAGAACTCCAGGCCATCGCTTGAGTGGGACCTGATTGGGAAAGATGAGTTGGGTATGGTTGGCGAGGGTGACATGGAAGAGATCATGTGGGGATGAGATGAACGCTTATGGACAATCACAGAGCCAACTGAAGAGGACTCTCGAGAACAGGACCAAATGGAGATGGACACTGTGTTCCATGTGGAACCCAAGAGAATAATAAATGTATAATATTGGTTTCGTAGAGATTTTTGTTTGACTGGTTTGAGGATTTGATCATGATCTGATATCGGTCAAAGAACCACTCGAAAACCAACCACGGGGTACTGGACAGCTGTTTCATTCGTCCTAGTTTGCGACTCTTCATCAGTACGCATTCACCACAGGGGTTAGAACCCACAACTTTCTGGTTACAAGGCGAGCTCATATACCATTAAGCCACTGGGACCCGATCCAATGGACAGCACATGAATTCTAACTTCTGCCAATTCACGACATAGCGTGACAATTAGCCAATGTCTTCTTCGACAAGTTACTGCCTTACCTTCAGCCTGCTGTACCTTACTGGTCACGACTTCCCAGTACCTGATGGGTATGTATTGATGAAGAGTCCTAAACTAGGACGAAACAGCTTTCCAGTATTCCCAGCTGGTTTTCCAATGGTTTTTAGCCGATGTCAGCTCATGATGAAACCCTCCAACAGATCAAATATATAATAATCCAAAAATGTATTTCTCAGATTAGACTTAGACCTGTACATAAATCAACTTTAGACGGATTGCTTTACTCCTGTTCATTTTTTCGACCATTCCTTTAATCTAAATATCATAAAATAGAAATTTTAATTAACTTTTAGCCAATCACATCAGTCAACAAGAAAACCGTCATGCCATCTCCAAATATGGATATGTTTGTAGTGAAGGATTATGGTTCAGAATGTCAAAACATCGTTAGCAAAGCACCAATACATAGTCCAATTCCTCAAAAAAACTTGTCCAGTAGAAGACCACAGTCAGCAGCATCTGTAAGTTACTTGTCCATTTATACTTTCATTTCATGAGTTTGTCAGATGCCTAATTATTTGCAGATTGCATGCCGTAGAAGTACTCATGAACTGTAGTCGATTTATGCAAAGAAGTGGAAATTAAAATGATTATAATAGTTGTTCCATTCGATATTCTTTTGATCAGTATAACGCGTGTAGGAAATAAATTGCACAGTCCAGTAAGTCACAATATTTACAATTTGTGTGGTCATCAGCGTGCTTCACCACAGTGCAAATATTAACAACAATATAATAATTAAAGAAGGAATAAAAAAGGCCGTTCACTTAGCATTTGCCAGTAAGTTAATAGTGTCATGCCTTACACTTTTCGCGTCACATAAGATATGTGCCGAATTCGGCCAAATTGTAGAGCTTTTATGCATAGTCGTCCGGTCATGCAAGGCAGGGGACCACTTTTGTCCTTTGTGACACCATGAGGGTGTGTGTTTGGTGATACGTTTGGATAGCAGACGCTGGGTACAGCCAATATACTTGGTTCCACACAAGCAGGTGAACTGATGAAGTCAATAGTAGTGTGGCGAGAGCTATCTGCAAGCAAAAATTGTGGACAACAATGGACGTCAATGTTACGTTTTAAATCGGGGTCATGAGAAAAAACAAGAACAAAGTTTAACTAACCTTGAGGAACTCACCAACCAATCACAGTAGACGTAACTTATGCAAGTACGATTCAAGGATATATGGCTTTACTTTCTGAGAAACGGTCACAAGTACTACAGAATAACATTCAGCAAGAAAACAACCAATCAGAAGACGTTACCTCTCTGCTAACAATAACGCTAATAATAATGTACATGAAAATCCATAAATATCTGTTGATTTTCTCAATGAACGATCTGTTGCCTGGTTCTTGTCTTCTGTCGTTACGGTAGTACACAGTGATACGGTATAAAACTGGGAGATCGATGCCTGGAGACGTCACCTGGTCTTGTATTGAAACAACTTTAGTTAGATATCGACTTCTCGAGAACACCATAATATTCTGACCTCATAAAATTCTATTGTTTATCAGAATGCCTTACCTTTTACATTATCTACAACATTCACCATAGGGACGATAATATGCACGCATTCTTCTTCTGTTTTCCAGAATCACTTGATTTCATTCCGTCAGAATACTTCAGAAAACAGCGCTAATATTTCAGCGGCTAGTTCACGTGTCAATACGCCAATCGCACATTTCTCTGGAAAACCTGTTACATTATTAAAACAACATCTTGGTCGACCGAGTAGTGCTCCGTGTTTTGTAAGTAATCTACAATTGGTAATAATGAGTACTTTTGAGACATCTTTTTTGGATATATTTTTTGTCTAAACGGTGAACTATTCAGCAGAATCCGAGTGAAAAGATGACTGGACGACGAGACAGACCTCTTAAGCAAAAGCATAGACTTTGTAATAAGTTGTGAATTTAAATGAGGTAAGAATGCTGAATAGCGACAGTGATTAAGGGAATTTGTTATAGGCGATTTCAACACACCCACACACACAAGTACACACAAGCATACGCTAACTGAGGAATGCACTGGCGAGATTTCAAACAATAAATTAGCAATATATAAAATTAAGCAATGGAGTATTTTCTTGTTCTAGGTGTGAATGGTTCCCATTTTCTACTCAAACTTCAAAACAGTTGATTGTAAAAATTTTTTATGTTTTTAATTGGTGGATGGTGACTAGCAGTGGAATCCAGAATAACGTGTATTTCGTCCTATTTGGGGCTCGTCATCTGGATATACCTCGGTGGGAACATCATCACTCACTGAGAAATGCAGGTACATCCAGCTAACGAGTGCCAAATAGGACGAAATGTGCGTTATTCTGGATTCCACTGCTAGTCACCATTCACCAATTAAATACTAATTATATGCCCAGACATCGTCGAAGCATCTGCTCAAGAAGCCGATATGTCAACCTGAGACCGAGCACTTCGGTCCAATCAATCAACAGGAAAATCTAAAAATGCAATTAAAACATTTTTTTTGTTTGTTTCGATACTACTTTTAGGTAAATAATTTGTAAGTTACAGTCGATAACTACAGTATTTCAGAATTCTGTAAGCGCGTATTAAAAGATACATTTTTAGTGGTTAATTGTCTTGCTGATATTAATATTATAAATAAAAATGTTTTTTCTTTGGATGTGAACCCTCTGTTCGCTAATATACCTTTACTTTAAAAAAAAATTGACATTTTGTGTGATCACCTCTCCACATATAAATTTCTAATTCTGTGTTCCTATATCTTATTGAAGGGATTTATATTTCTATGTACGGGCAATGTTAGATCTGCATTTGAAGGTAATTGTTTCCGTCAGGTTGATGGTGTTACCATGCCATTGGAAGTCTGTTGGGAACTCTTTTAGTAGATATCCGTATATGTCGTACATTTAGAGTTTACTAGACCACTTAATCGAAAATGTACCACTCTCTGGAAGATATGTCAACGACATTGCAATCATAAGTGATAAGCCTTGTTCTGACAGCTCAATTTTAAATTGAATGAATGAAGTTCAGAATAGTATATCACTTGCATCTATAGGAGAGAAAGACGATTTTTTATCTTTCCTGATGGATCAATAAAACGATATATTTATAGAAAACCTACCAGGACAGTACAATATCTTAATTATCACAATTTCTGCCCTGTTCGGTACAAAAGAGCCTTAGTGAGCCAGGTGCCTTTTCAGTAGAATCCAACGAATATGCACCGAATATACACTCGATGAGGAAGAAAGAAAGTTGACTTAAACTCTGGTTGATAATAATTATCGAGACAAGTTCATTAGGAGATATAAAGTAGTCAGATTACCAAGAACCACTCTTCAACTCGCCGCTAAGAAAGACGTGAACATCAAGCTACCCTATATGGGTGATCATAGCAGCTTGACAACTAGACACAGATTGAACGCTGCTGTTAAAAAGACTTCTTATGCAGTTTATATCATAATAATTGAGAATTTGAAGCAAATATATCCATCTAAGCCCTTTGAACATGCGAAAATGATGTCACGTCCCACTTTATTTATCAACTTAAATGTACTTATTGACATACATACATAGAGAGGACTCTTCGATCATTGCAAATAAGGCCTTTAGAAGCAAATAGAATACCCAGAACCCATTAATGGTGAGAACAGGATACGTAGCTCCTCTATTGCGAAAATATTATAGAGACAGGACAGGAAATTGATGTTTACACGTCCTTTAAACCTATCTATACAAAGTGTTCGGGGAGCATCCTAAAGTTTGTGGAAGCCCTAGCTGGCATTAGGAAATTTAAACCACCTTCATGCATTCAGAGCAACAATTCGTCATCACACTACACCTTCCTTGGTAATCTTTGTTTTGATACCAGGCAGGGTAGATGTACTATTAAGTCTGTTATTTGGTTTAGTGATCTTCATTGTTATTTTGACCTTCAATATGTCCTTTTAGCTTGACCTAAATTTATTTTCTAACCTCTTAACTCTATTATTTGCATATACATACATATATTCCTATGACAGGTCCGTGTGTGGTCAGATTGTTCGAAATGTGTTGCGTAAATGCACATTACACGATTCAGATGAATTACGTCTTCTTACTGCTTTTGTCTAAAAGTTATTCCGTTTATTTCTTTTAGTTGGCGCATTCTGTTACAGAGAGCTCATGCGATGTAAAAACTGAATGTGATGCTGTTGAACAAAAACCTATGGCACACAGTAGCACTGATGACCAACATTCATCAAGTCCAGATGTAGAACAAGCATCCTGTGACTCTCAAACAAGTGAAGAAAAAGAATCAAATGAAGAGTCAGACAATTCAACAGAAATTCAATTCGACAGAAAACTATTGAAAGAATGCAGAATTGTATTAGAAGATGAATATGATCGAGCTCTTAGACAACATGGTTGGAGAATGGAAATACCTGGAGATCCTTTAAATTTGAAGTATGTGAAGCTTTTATATACACAGCTTGTTTATAATTGCTACATATTACTGACCAATATTTCTTTTTTAGCTTAGGTGAACCAATTAAAGTGGGCAACCGTGGATTGTGAACTCACCAATGACCTTGAACGCTTATCATTCATTGGATTACAGAGCCTTCCATGATTACAGCACCAGTATGAAATCTGTGCACGAATTGATGCGCAAATTTAATTATGGTCTCGTTTATAAGCACTGTTTGAACAATGGGTTAATGGTACGTTAGGGCAAAGATTAGTATTAGGCTTGTGGTTAGGATTAGGGTTTGGGTGCTTGATTATTATTGTCTTGTAAGTAAATATACTGGGGGGGGGATAGTGTTTCGTCGTTCATTTAGATGAAACCATTTTGATAGCTAAGAAACTTGAAAACTGATTCCCTTCATTGTAATTGGGAAGCATTTTTGATATTATTGGTGCGTTCGTACTCCGTGGTCGCTATTCTTTATGTTTGTGTTAGCGTGAAATGTAGGCTTAAGAAGTGTTGATTTATAGTCCTTAATTCTGATCCCAGTTGAGTTATGTCACTGAAATTTATCTTGTGAAAACTAGAGTTATAAAAATATTCAACTGAGGCAAATTATTACAAGAAGCTGAAACAGATGGATAACCACTGGGAACTGAGAAGCACCGAATAGCTGTTTTCTCCTAGTTTAGAAATATTCAGCAGTACACACCTATCAAAGACAGAAGCCGAGAACTGTACATGGTAAGAGAAGCACATCACCATTCGGCCTCTGCGTCATAGTCTAATGCATCAGTTCACCATGTACCCCTATTTATGGTGACAGATGAATACCTATCCAAAACGCCTACTTGATGAACATGACTTCTCAATGGAACTCCAAGAATTTCATCCTATAATCAATGGGTAATAGATTAATATTGAAGTGCCCGTTTTCGTGGAGGTTTCTTCTATTTTTAGACCCATCAGTTAGACAATATTTGCACTGTATGAAATGCTAGTTATGAAGCTTGTGATCTGAACTCATAATATCTAAACGCTTATTGATGCGCTTTTGAAGATGAATTTGATTTGGATGTCGAGTAATTGCCATTTTGGCCTTGAACTATTGTCATTTCTTTGTGATGAAAAATGTTAAATCATTGGTCTTTGTGATCAGCTTTTAGCTAACCGACTGTTATATAGTAACCCTCACATTTGTCCTATCTCTATATTCCTCGAGTTTAAACAGTCAGAAGTTATTCACTGGCTTTAAACTCAGTATGTTGTTGTACCTTTACGGTGGAGTATTCGATGACTGATCAGCATATTGAGTGCCTTACTAGGAAGATTCCTCCGAATACACCTGCTTTTATGTCTGAGTCAGTGTATTATTATTTTTTTCCTTCACGTTCCCCAGTGGAACATAGGGCTCCAAGCTAGCGGCTTGAAGTTTCTGTAGCAGTGTTTATTTTACAGGATGGGGTTGCTAGCCTCATGCCCAACGTTTCCTCTTTACCAGCATTATTTCTGGCTCAACGAGGTAAAGGAGTGCGCCGGCCGGGGATCGAACGCCGGACCATGTGCATGGTCGGCGAGCGTCCTAACCGCTACACCACCGACGCACATTATTATTATTGTATCCTTTAATTTCTAGAGGAACATAGGGCTTCAGCCAAACGTCTCCATTGCGTTCACTTCTCTGCTAGATTTTTCACCTGGCTCCATGTCTGCCCACACGTTTTCATCTCCTCTTCACATGACCTCCTTCCAGTCACCCTTGGACGACCAAATCGCCGCTTCCCTTTCGGGTTCCACTCAAGGGCTTGTCTAGTGATGTCACTTGATGGTTTCCTAAGAGTATGGCCAATCTATCTCCATTTCCTTCTGCATATCTGTTTCACAATCGGTTCTTATTTTTGATGCTGAGTGTTGTTGACCTCCACACAGACTTGAGAGTAGTGAAAGCTTGTCTTGCTTTTCCGATTCTTGCTTTGATATCCTCGTCAGTTCCGCCTGTAGTTGAAACGATGCTTCCCACGTCGGTGGGTAAAAGAGGTTGTTTCTTTCAGATTCCTCCCATTTATGCTGATTGTTGTCTGTTGTTGTTGTTGCTGTTGGTGGCGTTGCCCGGGAATCTTCATCACCTCTGTCTTCTCTATGTTCACCTGAAGTCCTATCTTTGATGCTTCTTCTGCCAACTTGTTGCTTTTCGCTTGCATATCTTCCAGTTTGTGGGAAATCAGACATATTTCGTCGGCGAAGTCCAGATCCTCCAAGTTTTGCATAAGGTACTACTTAGTGATGATTTTTGTCTCTTAGCTAAAACTATAGCAAACAGATAGACTAGTCGATAGCACTTTCTGAGTCACTTTTCAAGCGTACTAGTCGTCTAATGTAGTTTTTCGTCGAAAGACTAATGAGATGATCACTGATCTTCATCGCATTGAAAGTGTCTTTCTTCTGGCTACTTTAGTCATAAGTTAGCAAAGGAGTTTACTATACATGCAACTCTTCTCATGAGACTCTGGCATTAATTAATATCCAATCCGTGTGCACTATCTTTCCGCATACTTGTTTTGCTGAGTTCTGTGTCGCGTTTTACCTATGAAAAAATTAAGAAATTCATTGTGATTATTTCGTTTATTCTCTGTTATGGGGTTGTTATCTTAAAATCTTCTCAACCATATTTCACTCCAATTGTTACAACACCTCATTGACAAATAGTTATGATACAATGAACACATGAAAGTTAACCCAGATTGTTTGTAAATAGTTTCATTGCTTTCAGAGTAGTTAGTGAGGTGTGAGCTGACTAATTCTACTATGTATGCCGTGGTACGTTTACAGATTTCTTAAAGCGTTGAAAGGATTACGTACTGTCTGCATGTTTTAGTGAAGCTTAATTGGTATACAATTTGCACTTGCATTGAAGGGTACTGTCTTCTTTTGAAGAAACCTTTGAAATGCACAGAGAGAAGGCTATATACTATAACCGATGCTACTTGTATAGGGAGCGAGAAGACAGGAATGCGTTGAAGTGACAGGCAGATTCTGGAAGATCCGGACTTCATGAATGATTTATGTCCAGTGTCACATAGATTTAAAGACTCACAGGCGAAAACCAACAAGTTGTAAAACCGAATCAGTGAAGTCAGGACTTCTAGTGAACATAAAGAAGATATAGAGGACTAAGATGCCTGATCAACAGTAACAACAACAACAACTATCAACTGGAGAGATCTTGGGGAATTCATTTCTTTCGATTCTGTATATAATGTCAATGTCACCTTAACTACAGGTAACACAGTTGAGGATGTCAAAGGCAGGATCCGAAAAGCGAGACTGGTCTCCGTCACTGTGAAATCAATGTGGGAGTCAGCTGAACTCAGATAAAGGCATAAGATTCGGATTTTATTTAACTAATGTCAAATCAGTCACTTCTTCTTTATGCGTCAGAAACTTGCACTGCGCGTCACCAAAAATATTTCTGACAGGCTGTGAACGTTTATTAGCAGTCTCCTTCGCTCCATACTGAAGATCAAATGGCCAGAATGAATGATCAATAAGTGTTCCGAAGAAAATGAAGATGCATTAAACACACGCTGAGAAGATCTTCGGGTGACATCGCACACCAGGTCATCGCTTGAGAGGAACCGGAATGGGAAATTACGGATTGGGCATGGTTTGCGAGGGTGACATAGAGGAGATTGCGAGAGAAAGAGATGAGAGACTACAGGAAATTGTGGGGCCAGCTGAAGAGGAGCGCAGTGAATAGGACAAAGTCTCGACTTTCTTTTGAATGCCTATGTCCCACTTGGAATTCATGAGAATTCTAATATAAAATGATCTTCCGTACGCTTTTTATCTTGAGAAATCATCTTTTTATTGCCATTACAGTGCAGATTACTGTCTATTGTTTTTATATTATTGGATACCATATGAAAAAGCTTCGGTTGCACAGCGGTGGAATGCTTACCGACCATTCATGTGGTCTGGGGTTCGGCCCTCGACAGACACACTCCTTTACCACGCTAAGCCAGTAATTAGGCTGATAAAGAGAGAGGGTTTGGGGGGCACGAGACAGGCTAGCAACCCCATTCCGTAAAAATAAGCTTCACTGCTACCGAAACTTCAAGCCTTTATCTTGAAGCCCTGTGTTCCACAGGGAACGTATAGGAATTAAAAAATGAGAAAACAAAAAATTGCCTATCACTCAATTAACAACATCCATAAGATACTGTCTTTTATTTATTACAGATCATCGTTGTTACCAAAGCGCTTACCATACTCAGTGAAGTTTCCTTTACAACCAACTCTACCCCAACCTCCAAAAATGAAGAAACAAAATGTTGAGACATTCTTCCAACCGTGCATTAAAATCCCTTTATCCAGTTTCACTATCCATCCAGATTTCACTTCAGAGTGTTATAATATGCATAGAAATTATTTAATTAAAAAAGGTCTTTGGAATTATGCTACACGGGATTATTCGTTTGCTTATTGAAATAATACCCTTTCTATTCTGGTAAAAAAATATTATTTTGAGTTTTATTTAATAAAAATGTACTCTTTAAGAATGTGTTTAATGGTTTTGCTGTTTCCTTCTGAGATACACTGCTGTTACGCTGAAATGTTGGTAGCCTTTGTTTCTGATGATATACCGACCGAAATGGGTAAGCTGTAAAAGGTGTTACTTGGAGTTTGAATTTAACGAACCGGTTGACTCGTTACATAACAATCAAGACGATGTATGGACAGGGTAGGAAGCTAAGGTAACAGAATTCATAGCCATGTGAACAGGAAGAAAGCCATCAGAACACTCGAAAACCGAATTGTGGACATTCACAACTACATTAACAATTCGTGCCACTCACAAAACTGGAATCAGCCTAGGATGGAAGGATGACAGCTAATAAACCAGCGACTCGATCTTTCATCTAACTGTAGCATTCAAACTGGCTCAACATGATCTTCTTAGCTTGTTCTACTGGGAGAATCTAATCTAATTGGGCAAGTAAAGTCATTGCAGGACATTAGCTTGATAGTGCCTGATATTTTTACTAACCTGACAGTCGTATTCAAATAGAAGGCACGTAGCGAAAGTACAGTTCCATGGTCGTAAAGGGATGTAGATCACTCTCTTAGCTGGAGACAATCAGACACAATAGAATGAAAGCTAATCTTAACCTGATCGTGCAGGTTCCAATAACTTCCATGCCGTATTTTCTTATTTAGTTGGCAGCTTGGACAGAACACATTCTCATCCTTATTTTTGTTTCCATCGAGAGAAGACACATCGGCTGACTGGCTTCCTGAAGGCTTTCAACAGTCCGCGTCATTTTGTTTCTCTGATTACGGAGAAAAATTAGTTTCTGTATCAGTTTGATTGATTTTCCATTGCAAGGTCACTTGGCCCATTCTGAATCCTCTCTCCTTTCTGGGAATTGGGACGGGCTAGAAAACTAGAGAATTTGTAAACTAGGCGAGGCATTACCAAAAGGTCTGAGACTTTTGCCAACAGCTACTTCAGCTGGCTCCATACTGAAGATCAAATGGCTAGGAAGAACTAGTAACTATAAAATCTGGGGAAGGTTCAATCAAGAGTCTATTTCTCAACAAATATTCCGAAGAAAACGGAAATGGTTTGGGTGCACACTGAGGAGACCTCTGGGTGACATCGCATGCCAATTCATCGCTTGAGTGGAACTGGAATGGGAAATGATGAATTGGGCGTGGGTTACGAGGGTGGCAAAGAGGAGATTGTGTGAAGAGGAGATCAGAGACTATAGGCAAACTTGAGGCCAGCTGAAGACGACCACAGAGAGTGGAACCAATTGGAGAAGTGCTATTGAATCCCTGTGTTCCACTGGAATCCCAAGGGAACAGTAATAATAACAGTAATCTTAACCTAAAGTGATCAAATTTATCTGACGCATGATTTTTTTCACGTTAATTACTGCGCACAAATATTCCTAGAGACGCTGCAACAAGTTCTTGTGTGATTATTTTGATACTGAGAAATACGGCAAGATAATACAATGTGTGAAAGTGATTTTGACCATGGCCACTGAAAAGGGGAGTAAAGCTTGAGATTAGAAGATATTTTACTGACAAAACGAAAATTGTATGTTGATTAAAACACTATGATATGACTCAACTCTGCTGTGAATATCATTTGCTTATGAGTCAGAAAGACTACTTTCTGAGACTGTGAATGCCTACTGGAATATGAACACAACGACGAGTTCAATTTCCTGGATCTAAATGTAAAAAGAAGAAACGATGGAACGGTTGAAAAGTTCATCTACAGAAAAGAAACCTCGATTGGACGTTATCTTCACGACAACAGCTTCTGCGGGGATTAGTAAGGACACTGTACAACTGGGCCAGAAAGTTATGTTCACCTAACAAGCTAGAAGAAGAATTAAGCTTTGTTGAAAAATGCCTTAAGGAAAACGGGTATCCAAAGGGATTTATCCCAAAGTAAAGCAAAGGACAAGATGAGAAAGCGAAGCATACAACTGTTGAAAAGAAAAAAAGTGTTCATTCGTCTCCCACTCAAAAGAAGAGCAGTATCACAAAAGATTGAAAAGAGGATGAACGGAGCACTGAAGAGATGCTTCTCTGCAGTCAAGCTGGTGACATTATACAGCACTACATGCTCTATAAGCCAATCGAAACTGGATAAGTTCCCTGCTGATGTTACCTCCAACTGTATTTATAAATTTACGTGCACCTGCAGCAACAAGTACATTGCAAGGACAGAAAGAGGCGCTTCTATCCGGTTTTCAGAGCATATTCTCTGCAAATCTGGTCTCTCTTTATCGAAAGCCTATTGTCTTACTATTCTGAAATTGGTTAGTTGTTTGCAGAGTGAATATTCACGTCCGTCATAACAATAAGAGATGCTGATTTAAATTTCATTTAACTGCTAGGAATTTAATTGAATACTAAAGACTTGTTACTGTGATTTACAATCCCAGTAGCTGGGACCACTTGTAATTTCCTGTTGACTGAAGGATAATGTAGATAATTAGGGTATTCTTTTAGTTAACTACATTTATTCCCACACGTAAATAAATCACTGCACTAAGAAAGCGGTATTTTTTATACACTTATCAAAGTTTGATTGGTTGGAGGGTTTCATCATGAGCTGATATCAGTTAGAGAACCACTGGAAAACTTGGGAGTACTGCGTATGACTGAAGAGTCCCAAACTAGGTCGAAACAGCCGTCAGGTACTCCCAGCTTTTCCAATGGTTCTCTAACCAATGTCAGTTCATGATGAAATCCTCTAACCGATCAGTCCAATCCGTACAAAACCAATGACAGAAAACTGATCAAAGCATTTTAGCGGATTTAAATAAAGCAAGAACAACATTGGTTTGTGCAGAATAATATGGTACCATCATTTATTTCGTTGGCTTCTCATCAGCTGCCTCCTTACAGCCTAAATAAATTGTGAGGTTTACGTACAGAAAAGTTTTAACATACTTGCATATTTTACATGTTGTCAGTTGACAGAAAGTTCCACAATTAGTGAAAAGTGCTCAGAAAATTGCGCTTATGCAGTCTTTACACAGTCAGTTCAAGTTTAAACAAAGTAAATGTATGCATGCAATGACAAAGGAGTTACGTAATACAGACGAGAGGTGAGTAAGATGATGAGTAACTAATAAATTTGGTAACGATGTGTTGAGTTCAAATCACATCATAGAAACAAGAGACAAGCAATATTACAGATTATAAAAAAGAGGGGTGAGGTTAAAGACAAAGATTACGTAATCATAGTAGAGAATAAAGACATCTAGTTACCATGGCAAGGAAAGACTAATAACTACTTCTTTCTGAACACATAAATCTGGTCTGAAGCGTTTGATGGAAATTGCTTCGGCAAACTTGAGGAGAACGGAGCTCCTTTGTCTATCGAGGCTTTATTCACTAGACCCCTTCAGCCACGACAACTACCTTTTTGCCACCTTTTGAATTAAAGAGAAATAATAACTGACACCCGCCACAGAAAAAATGGCTCTCGTGGCTCAGGTGGTCTAGTGGATAATACCTTGGTGTTTGAAACGATGAACATTGAGTTCGGGTCTCCCCAGTGGGAGTACCATCACTCACTGTGTGATACAGGTGCCCCAGGTGGTAAGTCCTATGAAAGGGAAGAAAATGAGCATCCTGGATTTCACTACTTGTAACCATCCACGAAAATACTTCAAGTTAATCCTCAGACATCATCGAAGCATCTGCACAAGAAGCCGACATCTCGACAGATACCGAACACTTGAGGTCCAGTCAATCAACGGGATAATTGAAATTAAACTGAAAGTAACTAGTTATAAAAGTAGTTTGGGAAAAATGTGTAACTGATCAATTATTAAGGACGGATACTCAAAGTGTTAGGAATTGAAGATAAAATTTAACACAGATTCAAAATTCCATTGTAAATTTCATCGCGAACCAACCAGATAGTACAGGACAGCTGTTTCTTCACAGTTTGGGTCTCTTCATCAGTATGTACCGGTGATTCTACTAGAAATGAATCCAGGAACTCTATGCTTCAACCGCTGTTTGAGTCATGAGTGTGCGCAGCTGTAAAGCCCCAAACAAGGATGAAACAGCTGTCCAATAACCTGTTTCGCCTCTTCCATATACGTTTACCAGTTTAACTGCTCATGCAGAGCTAGTTACATCGAGCATACGTTTAGGCGTGTTCATGGTCGAAATTCTGAACATCTCTCATCTTAGTTTCGCAGAGGTTTGAATATAGCTATACGCAACTCAATACTAGCTCATCTTATCAATACTGGACATCAGGTTGACTTTAACAAAGCTTTTAAAGTTATTTATCATGTTTCACCCAACCTTTCGTATGCTACAAGAGTACTGATTTTATATACAGCTGAGTCGATTGAAATACATCAGAAGAAGCCAAATCTATGAATGTTCAAAAGAGATTTGTACAGGCCCTTTCTGTGCCACAGTCAGAAAAAACGACCTAGAATGAGAAAGATAAACTAACTTTTAACAGCCAAGACTTAGTATTTTTGTTTCAACCAACGTTCAAATTAAGGAATAATTAGACTTTCAGGGAAAGTGTAGTAAATTACAGTTACCTATTAGGCCAACTAGGCTACATGAAGTTAATTCTTTGCCTGTTAACATTCAGAACAACCAACAATAGTGAAAAAAGAAGTATTTAATGAATTTATAAATTCTTGTAGAACTCTTCAGGTGAATACTCTACAGATATAATAATTTGGATGGTGAACAGCAGTGGAATCTAGGATGTCCGTTTCTTTCTATTTTAGGACTAACCATCTGGATATACCTGCATCCCGCAGTGAGTGATGGTACTCTCAACGAAGAGACTCGAACCCAGTGTTCATCGTCTCAAACACCAAGGTGTTATCCACTAGATCACTTGAGCCACGACAGCCACCTCTTTTGCAATGCGTGTCAGTAATTATTTATTTCTAATTCAGTTTTGATTTCTCCATT